AACTTAAACCAAATGGGGACAATGGGAAGCTCTTTATTGGGATTAAAATCAGGAGTCCACTCTAGCAGTTTCATTGAGATTCCTTCAATCAAAATGGATTGTTTAGAAAAGATTCTAGCATAGTCTTCTTCCCTTGTGAGGTTGATGAGAATATGTCTTCCATCAAGTAGGCCTACTTTCCATGCCCCTTTGAATTTCAGTCCATCAAAATATCTTCTCACTGATTCCATTTTTGGGTGGCCAAGTTGAAATTTACCAATTAAGGTGAACTTATAACATTCAGTAAGACCATTTAGGTCCTCCTCAGTAAAGTAGATAACCAATTTCCCACTCTTCTTACATATAGGCTTGAAGAGAGGGTCATGGCCCTCATGATACTCTTGAGGAAATACCAAACCATCAATATTCTTTACTTTAACCCAAATAGAATTGTGGTGCCGGTCTAAAATGCAAAGTAGGCAAAAAAACTATCACAAAAGGCTCTTAGTGTGGCCTTTTTTTTACTAGGAGGGGGGAGAGTTGGGTTTTGAGGCTTAGATTAATGCATTGTAGAGTAACGAATCTCAGTATGGCAGATTGGCCGGTGGTCCAATTATTGTTGGTTGAGTTTGCTAGAGTGATGTTCTCTATTTATTGGTAGCCACTTAGGTAAAATGGGAGAAGCAAGTGTTAAGTGCTGACTATTTTTTCTTTTTTTATGTGCTGACCAGTCGATGTTGCTCAACACGAGATCCAACGAGACACGAGACACGGAATCTTAATTGTTCGCTCATTATAGTTCTATGTTGAACAAGAAGCCCAAGCGACTACCCAAAGTAGCAGCCATAGCTTTCTCGAGCAGCCCTTGGTACCTCGCCACCATTCTTGAGCAGTCCTCGATATCTTGTCGTCCAATTGCGAGCAATTATTGACCACTTAAACGCATGAAGGTAGTTGTTTATGTCATCGAGCAACACTGAAAAAGTGAGCATGTCGTCAAGCAACACTGATCGATGTGAGTTGTTGTCAAGTGGCCTCGAGCAAAGCAATCCTATGGTCAATGTGATCCAGAGATTTGTTCCCATCATTCTCTCCTCTAATATTGTCCAACGGATCGATATGAGCCTTATGTACTCCTGAGCGCTTGAGATGGCTTGTTTGTTTCTATTTATTTTAGCTCATTTTTTTATTGCATTTAATATGTTTTCCTAAATTTAATAATCTCTTTATCTGAAATAACATATTTAATTATTTAATAATGACATTTGATGGATTTAAATATCTTAATTCTTGAATATAGAATATGGAAGCTTAGATGCCTTCATTTAAATTTAGAGTAGAATAACTTCTAATTATTTTGCTACGTACAAACATTTTTTAACGGCCCACAGAGCCTAATCAGCTCTTTATCATATAAATGGGCCGGTGGCTAGGAAGCGAATTTAGGGATTCATTATAAGTGTGTTATTTTCCTTATTTTACAATTAGTTTTCATTTAAATTAATCATCATTCAAATTATTTAAATTTCTATTTTTAATTAGTTTTTCATTTAATATTAGGGTTTAAATGGTCGTAGAAAGCAACTCATGACTAAAAAATGTGCTGATCACATGCATTTAATTCGCCAAAATGAATTATGACATCTTACCATCCATGAACCACATATTGGGACATCAGGATACTAGCAGGACACACGATAAGATGACACAACATAATTGAAAAAGAACAAGATATAACTAGTCATGTCCATGTTTTTATATTTAATTAATTAGTAATAAATAAATAAATGTATGTGTGTGTGTGTGTGTACATGTACATATATATATACATGTACATATATATACATGTATATATACATGTATATACATGTATATATACATTTACATGTATATCTATATATACGTACATATACATGTATATCTATATGTATATGTATATGTATATATATATACATGTATATCTATATGTATATATATATATATATATATAACAATGTATATGATTGAATTTATTTGGAACAAGTGAAAGTCAAGGATAACATTTTAGTTCATCCTCTAGCTCCAACCTTCACATATTCTCCCATTCATATTGCTTTCCACTTTGTTCACACATATAACGACTCCCAGGCATCCACAGCCCCATCCGCAACCATTCCCTTGGATTTCAGAAGGTTGAACACAATCGATGACTATAATCATTATGCTTATTGAACAAAAGAGAAATTAGAAATGATCATGGCGGCGCAGTAATGGAGGAGAGAGTGGGCAATTGGCCTTGAAAGGCTTAGATGTGACAACCATACGAGCCTAGCTAGGTTGACGAGGATGGATGACAGGAGCATGGCTCAGGAATATTTAGTTAGAAGATAGACGCAACCAAAGACAAGTGAAAGATCCATTCAATCGATTTTCAATTTATGTCATTATTGTTATAATAAGCCATTTAAAAACATAGTGAGGTAGACCACAATTACATTTTTTTAATGATATACATCATAATATTAATGTGTAATGATTAAACATCAGAATTTCAATACCAGGTATACGCACATTAAATAAAATATAAATTATCAGCCAAAAATTGGGAAGGAAAAGCATGATCAATAAGAAAATATAAAATATATATTGTATTAAAATGTGACAACTTTTTTATTAATTTTATTAATTTTATTAATCTTGTATATAAATTTTGGGTGAAGCAACAACAGACAAAATTAACACTGAGAATCTAATGATTTGAAGTCTAAACATTAATTTATACTAATAACCAGATACAAAGGGTAATGCAGTGGGAACGAATTTAAAGAACCATGCACATGCTTCTACTTAGCACGAAGAACCAATCCATTCTCTGTCAGGAAATATATGAAACCCTAATTCCCAGCAAGTCTTCACCTCTGACTAACAAATACAATCTATACTCATCTCCTTCAAACTCAAACCTAAATGCCTCAGAAGTGCAAAATCCTATTATCTATACTCATCTCCTTCAAACTCAAACCTAAATGCCGCAGAAGTGCAAAATCCTATTATTAAATAGATTCAGAATACCAAAATCGTTTATCACAAACCAACCAAAAATAAAAAAAAAAAAAAAAAAAAAAAAAAAAAAAAAAAAAAAAAACCTACATGACATCCAAAGAGACAATCTCTCAATCACCATCATCTCGGCCAAGCCTAGCGACAATGGCAGCAAAGATGTGGTCTCGTCGCTCAGCTCTGAGCTCCTGTCTTGACCTCCACTCATCCTCTCTTTCCCGCCATCTCTTCTCCATCTCTGCTCGCTCTTCACAAATGGCCTCCATCATCCTCTTCCATTCAAGCTCGGCCATTTGCCTCTCCGCCTCTCTTGCCTCTGCAACCTGCAACCACCTCACTTCCCTCTCCTTCTGCCACTTCGCCAGCTCCTTTAATGCCCACTCTACCTCTTCAAACACCCTTCCTCCTCCTCTGCCATGTTTTGCTCTTTTGCTTTTCTTTTTATTCGTCATTCTTCCTTCATCCTCTTCTTCCTGCATTTCCTCTTCTTCCTTCTCCTTCTCCAAACTGAGAAGCCTTTGATCCCTTCCAGATAATATACTTTTCATCTCCTCGTAGTAGGGGAACGCCTGCCTACTCTTCTCCTCACCCAACACCTCGCTTCCCTGTCAAAGGCGCAAAACCATCGCATTTCATAAACAGAAAAGAGAGAAAGAAACATAAGAAAAGAGATGCGACTGTAGTACTATTTGGATTGCATGTTTTACCCGTTTATTCAAAGGGTACCCTTTTAGAATAAGTTGCTTATCCCTAAACACACCCTCAATCAAATAACATGATTAGTCTAATTTGCAGATTGCAAATGTTTCGATTCACATGAGAGAGAGAGAGAGAGAGATGAAGACCTTGAAGCGAGTGAGAAGATTCTTCCACTTGGACTTGCATTGCTCCGGGGTGCGGTAGAAGCCCTTACTAACCATTCCCGATGATATGGCTTCCCATAAACGCTTGTTGCGTTTTGTCTCCGCAAAGGACTGATCGAGCTCGGCTCGGATGGAGAGGAACACTCGGGGCT